TAGCTTCCCCCCTTCTGCCTTGAAATGGAGATTGATACAAGACCATAAAAGTATCGTCTCTCACCCCTCTAGTCACAGCCTCACTTCCTTCTTCGTTAACTAAGTTGGGGGCTTCTACCTGGACTTCCTTTAACCCAGTTCTCCAGTTTTTCTCTCTCCTGCTACACAAACCACCCTGGCTCTCTGGTGTTCTTCCCTCCTCCTCTCTGTGTGTCTCTCCCTCCCTCCCTGCTTCCCTTCCTCCCCCTCCCTTCCTATCGCTCTCTCACTCTCCGTCCTTCCCCCTCCCTCCTCCTCTCTCTCACTCTCCCTCCTCCTCTGTCTCTCCCTGTGTGTATCTCTCTTTCTCCCTCCCTCCCTCTCTTCCTTCTCCCCCTTCTCTCTTTCTCTCCCTCTGGTTCTCTAGCTCTCTCCCTCCCTGTCTGTCTCCGTCTCAGTCTCGGTATATCTCTCCCTCCTCTCTCCTTGTCAGTCTTCCCATCTTCCACAGGATGGCTTCAGTGATAGGCTAGCTGGAGGAAAAGAAGTTTCTCCTGACCTCTCTCCCTCCGCCCTCCGTCCCCCTCCCCCAAGAGAGCAGCTGCTTCCTAACCCCGCCTTGGAAAGAGCAGCCAGGACTTAGTGAGTGCTAGCTAGTGTCCAGGGGCCCCCTCTTCCCTGGCACTTTCTACATAGTGACTGACTGTGTTGGTTCTTCTTAGGATCGGGAATTAAGGAAAGAACTACTCAGAATGTACCTCATATTGGTTTAATATTTATTGACGACTCACATAAGTTAGAAGAATCTCCAGAAAAACCGCAGTTAGGCACCTTGCCTGGGAAACACTTTCAGATGTTGGCTGCGTGCCAGTCTTAAAATGTAAAATACAGTCGACTGTATTATCAGGCCAATACCCTCCCATTCTTTCCAACCTAACAAATACAGCCAGGCAAGCTTGTCTGACTTCAAGCTTTGTGAAGCATCCGCCACAGGCATGATGTTTTCCAAGTGCTAATTAATAAAGAATGGCAACAAACAAGAAGCAGTTCAGAGGTTCACTGGCTCTCCTTAGGTGTTTTTGCTAAATCTCAGCATATGACCAAAGAACAAAGCGAGGGAGCTCCCGGCAGTGGGATGTAGCATCTGGAGGCTTCAAGTTTCTATCTTCAAAGAAGTAAGAATGCGGGTATAGCTCTCCATAATGGCTTCATTAATCCCTCTCATTTCCATGCTGACCTTCAGTAAGGATTTGGCCTAGCCACGCCTGTGTGTGTGCAAAGTGACTGTCTTTAATGACTGGAACCAAGCCAACTTCTTGACCTAAGCCACAAATTCCTTTTTTTTTTTTTGTAAGTTAGGCAAAGTGGGTTTTCCTCAATATTTTATTATTTTTTATTATATATGCATGAGGGTTTTACCTGCATGTATGCCTGGTGCCCACAGAGGACTGAATTCTGAGCCCCATGGCATTGCTAGGAATCATAGCTGGGCCCTCAAGAATAACCAGCACTTTTAACTGCTGAGCCATCTGTTTAGCCCTCCAAACGATTTTGAAGTGTACATTCTGGGATGGACAGATGCCTTGACTGTTAACAGTATTTGTTATTCTTGCAGAGGACCTGGGTTCAATTCCCAGCACCTATGTGACTGCTTACAATCATGTGCAACTCCAGTTCCAAAGTATCTGACACCCTCTTCCGACCTCTGGGCACCGGACAAGCATGTGGGACACAGACATGCATACAGACAAAACACCCATACATATAAAATAAAAATAAATTAATCTTTAAAAATGATTGCAAGAGGGGCTGGAGAAATGGCTCAGCGGTTAAGAGCACTGACTGCTCTTCCAGAGGACCTGGGTTCAGTTCCCAGCACCCACAAGGCAGCTCACAGCTGTCTGTAACTCCAGTTCCAGGGGACCTGACACCCCCACACAGACATACATGCAAGCAAAATACCAATGTACATGAAATAAATGATTTTTTTAAAAATGATTGAAAGATGCATATTTGCCAGACAGTGGTGGCACGGGCCTTTAATCCCAGCACTTGGGAGGCAGAGGCAGGTGCATCTCTGTGAGTTTGAGAACAGCCTGGTCTACAAGAGCTAGTTCTAGGACAGCCTCCAAAGCCACAGAGAAACCCTGTCTCGAACCCCCCCCAAAAAAACCACACATTCTAACTAATCCTATTTATGCCAGTTCCTTTTGTAGCCTTGAGTACTTTTCTCAACCTTTCATTGCTTCTATTTCTTATCTATTAATTGAAAGACAGTGCTATCTAATTCATAGGGTTATGCACATTCAAATGAGCTGAACCCTGTAAAACATTATTTAGTGTCTAATACATAGAAGGTATCCACTGAGTACTGTTGCTAACAACCCAGGCTTTTGCATGTGCCTTTAAGCATGTGGGCACACACACTCCAATTCCATGTCCTCCCCCACATCTGCAGAAGCAAGCCATCCCCCCCAAACCCACGGAAAACTCACACTCTTCTCAATCCCCCACCCAGTTCCCAGATACCTCTCCCTCCTGGAAACTTCTATAGCATTTATTGCCTGCACTACTTATTTTATTCGGAATCACATACTGCCTTCCATTGTTCTCTCTGTGAGTCCTGCCTCCCCACGCCCACCTCTTTGACAGCACGGCAGGGTCTTAATCCTTTCTACAACAACACACCCCTCAGCACCTAACAAAGTGACACATAGTAAACACCAAAGAAATGCAAGGACACTGTTGTCTCCATAGGTAAGGGGGCAAGCAAGAACTAAACCGAAATGATGGGTCCAATTTTACAAACAACAACAACAACAAAAATCTTCAAACAAGTGTCTAGGCATCTCTTTGCTGGGAGAGCCTGTTTATCTCCAAACATTGACAAGAAGAAACCAATGTTGCTTCTTAAGGGGGTATTTTTTAAATTATTGGACTTACTTGTTTTATTATGTATGAGCACTAGACACTCAAGCACCATGCCACGTGTTTGGAAGTCAGAGGACAACTTGCAGGAATCAAGTCTCTTCCTTTCGCCATGTGGGTTTTTGTCCAGGAGTCCAACTCAGGACTTGAGTCTCACTTGCCAGTTCCTTTACCTGCTAAGCCACCTCATGGGCTCTTAAGGAATTCTTAGTGGCGCACAGTGAAAAGGGAACCTGGTATCCACAATAGTTCCAGCAATTCAGAGAGAGGTTATGATGGGAGCACAGCTGGGTGGGAGGCAGGAGTAGGCTGTGGAAGAAAGCTGTGAGGCTGGGCAGCAGTAGCTTGAGGACTTGTGTGTCTGGAGTGAAGTGGACAAGGATAGAGGGAGTTGGTAGGTGTGTATGTGGGGGGAGGGGGCAGTAATT